TATATATATATATATATATATATATATATATATGAGACCCGTTTGCAACATTTTAGGAACACTGTCGAAAAAAAACAACATTTGCAAGGTACACACTCACAGATCAGTGAGATACGGGCTTTCATTTCTACAAACGTTAAGATATATACTTTCACTTAGTTTAGTTTTTTGAAAGCATTTTTGATTCCCCCCCGCCCCCACACCTCAATTTTAGTTTCATTTGTTTTGTTAGTTTTTGTTAACTGTAATAACCTTGCCGTATACTTGTGGTTATGCCTTGTTGTTCCTGTTAATGACAACGGCATGTTTCCAACTTTGAAAATTCTCGCAATTTTGCAACCTGAGACGCAACGACGATGAACCTCGCCTTCATCTTTTCCCTCTTCCAGGGATCCGGACAGCGTGGTCCTGTGCGTGCTGGCCGCCGATGGCGACGAGGCGGACGTGGCTCTGCAAATCCACTTCACGCTACTGCAGTCGTTCTGCTGCGACAGCGGCATCACCATCCTGCGCGTGTCCGGCGTACCGCGACTACGCCGGCTGCTCGCCAGCGTGGACGACAACGACGACGACGAAGACAACCGGCGCCAGGACGGAGACATACACTGCATGCTGGTCACGGTATGACCACCGACATGTTACCGAGACGCGTTGCAGTTCAAATTGGGGCCTGATTGATCAGGAACTACAAATTAGAAATTCGGGAAGTAGATCATTTGCATTGCAAGTTCATGCAATTTGAAAGGAAATCGTTGGACCGGGATATATTTCCCTATAACCCCCCCCCCCCCGGGGGGGGCATTATGGGGAAAGTACGCTGCATTTACCCTACAAGTACATTCAAACGTATTTGCAAGTACATTAAAATGTATGTTGTAAATCTGGAGGAAGGTATTTGCAAATACGTTGGACCATAATTTAAATATCTCCCAATGCATTTGCAAAGATGTCCTAACGAGTTTGCTAGTTAAAAATGTGTCCTCCACATTGGGAGCTCCACGCTTCTGTAAATTTGCCACGAAATGTCTTCTTTTTTTTTTCCATCCTAGTATTTGGTCACAAATGGCAATTGCTTGATTTTCCGCAAAACCGCTTTCTCGATAGAAAATGTTGTTCCAGATGGCTTTATTTTTCCACACAAATGTTATTACAAGGTGATGCATTATAACACCAAACTTCTATTCTTTACCATACAAATTCTGTTTTGTCACAAATTGGTATTTTTAGCCAGCAGAGAACTCCCCACCATTTCGTGTTTCGTATATTATATTGCGTTTTCTGTCCAGCAGAACCCCCAGGCTGACCACTGCCGTCTCCGGGAAGTTGGCATCTACTGCCAGGAGAGCCTCCGCGTGGACCAATGGGTCCCCGAGCTGGTCTTGCAGGATCGCTGAAGGGGGGGAAAAAAAAAAAAAACACGGTGGAAGTGTGCTGCTTCGCTCCCAGATGAACTTTGAGCCCGCACACACAAACAAGCGTGAGGCTGGAACTCGGGACACATGACAAAGCTGGACTGGAGGAATTTCCACACCAAGGCCCGCTTTGCCGAGGAGCCGGCGCGGGCCCGGCCCTGCCCGGTGCGCGTTTCTGAGAAGCGAGACAGGAATGTGGCAAAGGCGCAGCAATCCCGTGTGCTTTGACGCACACAAGAACTGAAAGTTCAATTTAGTATTCTGCTGTTTGCTTCGGTGCCTTCAACATCCAGGAGTGTGAAAGAGAAATGTACTGTAACGATGTTGCTGCCTGTTGTTATTTGACTCAAATAAATTATTTACAGTATTTTCATATGGGCTCGACGCTCTCGAGGTTTCAGATTGAGCAGGAAGTTGTACAACACGTGTAAATCCCTTCCCGCAATGACTTGTCAGTTTAATTGACCATAAAAAAGATTTTCTTTCCATAGTTTTCCTTCCTATCGTTTCTCACGAATGTCTTTAGTTAGTTGTCTGAATCTACAATTGCAAAGCCATATTTCCCACAGAAAATGCTGTATTTTTTCACAGTGTTCTATTTTTTTCCCCCCATGAAATAACGTTCCGTTTTGGCACCAAGATGCAATATTTTGCGATTAAAAACCTCTTATTAAAAAACAAATAAACTGTAGCAGATAAGTAATAAAATGCAGCATTTTACCAAATGGTTTTTATGGCAAAATATAGCAGTCGAGTCACAAAAGACTTCGGTGAATACAACTTGCATACTAATGTCAAAATGTCAAAAGTTTCTGGCAGTCAAAAGTCAAGCTTTAAAGGTTTCCCACGGAGCTAAATTGCCACTGAAACTGCCAAACAGGCAAAGCAGCCAATGCACAGATCAGTTTATGCTTTCGATACTGAAACCTGCAGATGCATCTTGCCAACCGCTCGGGGCATGACTGCTATCTTGCACATGATCATGAATGCCCTCACACCCTCCCTTCTCCAACCCGGAATCTTCCCCTCTTCACTCCTCCCGTATGCGCCGCTCACGTTTTCTGACAGGGTGGGAGAGCAGGAGAACACACCGAGGCACATGGACGTACTCGGGTTGTTTACACCAAGAGTGCCCCAACCTTTATTTATTTATTTATTTATTTTTTTACCGGAGATCTATTTTCGAACAGCCAACCTCCCGTTACCGCACGAACACCCCCCCCACACACACACACATAGGCTTGAACGAAACAAAAAACTAAAGTAGATACAAGAGTTTGTTGTGAGAAAATTACTGCCTACCTTAGTGTGGGAGAACTGAAATGGAGGCAGCGAGACACTTTAGCTGCGTATGATGTGCAGAAACATCACTGTCGTAGCTCACGTGTACAGTTTTTAAATGCTTCCCCTGGCCATTATTTTTTTTGCCAATGCCATCAGCGAATTGCATCCGGCACAAACTTTGAATGCGAATAAAGAAAAAAAAAAGTGATGGATTTCAATAGCCCTGATCGCTAGCTACAATTGCAGACTGCTAACTGCTAACAACTTCCGGTGTTACAGGTCATCTGTAGGTTACAGGTGACCTGCTTTTTATTTTATTTTTCTCTTCTTTTTTTTTTTGTTTAAGTGAAACTGATAGGATGCTTGGGGTGCAGTGTACACTAACACAAAAATATAGACTATTAATAACGTACACAAATTTTCCCGCTGCCATACCCCCCCCCCCCAACCTTGGGCACTGCTGGTTCACGCCACACGAGGAGGACGTGGAAGCCTGGGAAACGGATTGGTTGAGGCCGCTTTGAAAACTTTTAAAGGACTAAGGAGATGCTTGGCATAATATTTTCCACAAATCATCCCTGTTTAGCAAACAAAATCCCAATATTTTTCCACTGAACTGCTATTCAATTCACCCCCGCTATTCACGGGTCGAGGAGACCAGGCCGGCCCGCGAATGAGTGAAAGTCCCCGTATGTCTGACTTCCTGCATTTGGGGGGGAAAAATCCTCGTTAAAGATCAAAATATGGTATTTAACATTTATTGTCGGGCTCTGATTTGAAGAAAAACAGCGACAACTGCAGGATCTGAGCACCAAAAAAAAAAAAAATCACACAAAAAAAAAAGACAACAGATGAGCATGTCTGTTATATCATCTTTTTATTGTTATCTACCTGTCAATATCTTTTTTTTCTTCGACAACAAATATCCACAAAATATTAACAGTGTGAGAGAAAAAACATGACTTGTGTATGTATGGCACATCAGAGAAACACCCCCCAAAAAGTAGATGTTCCTTGCAATCATCAAGGCAATAAAAATAACCACCCCCCCCCACCCCCCAATAACAAGAATGGCGGATTCCGGGATGTTTTGATATGAAAAGTATGAAATGTACGTTTTTCACACACACAGGCACGACGAGGACGCAGACTGACAATGGGCCAATCAGAATGCTTGGCATGTAAGATGGCCGCCACCGCAGCCTGACTAACTGACAGAATCGAGATGGTTCAAATCAAAAATATGAGGCCACTTCACATCCCCATTCTGTCACTATCTTTCACACAGCACAACGACCAGAGAAAAAGTCGGCTTGATGGGTAGTGTGAGAGGGGCTTCTGATACTACGTCCACAGCTTTAAAAAAAAACAAAAAACAAGGAGGGTCCACTATGTATCCCCGTTCTTTCGCTACCTTTCACACATGGAGCGACGCAAGGAAAAGATATGGAAAAACCAAACTTTGACAAAGCGGTGAGAGAGGGGCTACTGGTCACAGAGATGAAAGAAAGTTTGTACAGTTTTTTGTCTTTCTCTTCACTTTCATTTGTTTCCTTTTTTTTAACAATCAACGCAAAGGAAGCAGCATTCTTATTTGTTGCATTAAAATCAAGACGAACAAGAAGCAGGAACTTGCTGGGGTTTTTTTCGGCGGGAATTTGTTACGTTTACATCAGGGTTGGTTCATCGAATGGTGGGCATACATTGTCCGGATTTACCATGTTTCAAACCCGACGAACAAGAAATCAAAATCTATTTCAGTTATACCTCTTGTATTGAGATACATAACGAATCGTCTTTAATGTATTTAATCGCTTTTCAATCTATTTGACACTGCTCGTAATTAGTTTTTTCTTTTTAATTAACTTGGGTGGTTTGGGTTTTGGAGAGCTTTTACGTTGTCGTGTCAGATGAAGAAGCATGATGAAACTTACTGCCATATCACATCGCCAAATCGAATCGATTCCTAATGAATTAAACCGAATTGTTCCATTTCAAAATCGTAACATTTGTATCGTGCCTCATGTTTCAAGAGGCCAGCTTTGATGGGCAACGTGGAAGGGGCGCTTCTGTTCAAAAGACGGGAAATGGATGGGTCGACTACGTTGCCAGCAATATGAAAGGGGCTTCTGATGCTACCTCCAAAAGGCGGAAAATGATCCCGCCAGCTTTGTACCCCTATTCTGTGGCTACTTTGTACACAGGACAGCGTTACGGAAACAAATAAGAAAACGCCAGCTCGTATATGTTGTACGTCCATCTTAATGAAGACGAAACATCAACAATGTACATCAAGTTAAACCTTCCGTCTGTCCCCATGTCCCTGCGCCTCAATCCTTGGCTCCACCCCCAAAATAAATGCGTCCCCTTCAAGTTAAGATGACACTTGTTGAGAGGTGACCAGCATGATGTGAAAATTAGACCAAAGCACCTTGGCTCACACGGATCTCAACCACTCTGATCAGAAATAAGAACACCATCATTACCGAGATTCCCCCCCCCCCCCACACACACACACACCCTCCACCACTCTCCCCACCTCCATCTTGACTCCGACCGCAGATTATGGCGCTTTTCCAGAGAGGCTGTTTCAGGAGTGTGTATGTGTGTTTGTGTGTATGCGTGTAAGTGTGTGCGTGTGTGTGGAGCGCAGCTATAGGATGATGCAGGGCTTCTTGTCCTTAAAAGGGTTTTCGGAGGTGGGAACGCCGACCAGCAGCGGGTCGCTACGAGCATGCTGCTCGCAGTAGCTCATCAGGTCGGCGGCCGCTTTGGACACCTGACAGGTAGGGGGTGGGGGGTGGTGGGGGCGCAATGACGCAGGGGATGGAGGAGGATATGATAAGAGATGGTGGATGAGAAAGAAGGAAGAGTGGATTAGGTGTCACTAATACCACAATACAGCAATATCTGCGATAATCCATATATTTAAAATCAAACTGTCTTTGAATCGTGTTCATACCGTTTGTGTAAATTGCTAGCGCGCATATTTGTTTGCCCAAGTGCCAAGTTAGTTTGCGCTAACATGTTATTTAGGTTAGCATACGAGCTAATTCTATTGTTCAGCCTCATGTGGAAGTGATTTGTGTTGAAAAACTTAGCTACTGAGTGCAGTTATTTATCACCCATGGATTTAGGATTGCGTCAAGGCTAAATGGATGGTGTTGATGTTTGATTATCCTCTCCACTTTAAATGGTTTGCTGCCATCTTGTGTCACTTCTACACAATTACAAACCCATTTAGGGACAGGACATCAATTATTTGTGAATTTTCACTATTTGCAAATGTGCTACATTGGTACACTGTTTAAAAAAAAAAAAAATCTAAGCAGTACCTTAATCCGCTCAATGCCCGCTTCGATCCTCAGCTGCTCCACCAGTTTCCTGGCCTGGGCGATATTATTAGTGGTGGACATACTTATCCATCAGAATGCACCAAAACTGCAGAAAACTGCTTCAAAGAAAGAGAGAGATTTTGTAAATGAAACAAATCCGCCATGTACACTCAGTGGCTAGCTAAAGGCATCCAATAGAAGAGCTGTCCCAAAAACGTTCGTCTTCTGAAACTTCTTGTGTTATTGTAAGCTTATGTTATATTACTAATTTTATGTTTGAACATCATATTATTTCATGTTACGATTATCTAAATTGCATTCTGTTGTTTAATCATTGCTTAGCACGTTTTTATGTTGATAGATTCTGATTGGCTGTTGGAGTAAGGGAAACCAGGAAGTGATTTTAGTTGCCGAGGAGTGTGTCCTCGATCATGCTGCGGTGCAGACGACCTTTTTTTTCCTCTTTTCAATAAAGCTGCGTTTAAACGGAATCCATCTCTCCTTTTGCCGTTCGTAAAGTAGAGCCATCCATTAAAAACAACGAACCCCTCATCTTACGTTATTATAGATGGCGTTGTAGTGCCTCTGTGAGGTTACCAAAGGGCAATGCAATACAAGCGCCTCGAACAGCAAACATTGATATCCATCCATCCATCGGGACAATTTAGAGTACCGGTATTCCATTAAACTTATTATCCCCCCACCCCCAACAACCTTTCATCGCTTATTCGCAAAAAAAACACAAACGGACCGATTTGCTGTTAAACTTTATGCGCCCTCTGGCGGTATCTTTGCACTGAGGAAACAATTTAAAGTGGGTTGAGAAGTTTCATGAGATGCGAGTGGTCATTTGCTGCCATCTTGTGGCATCTATAGGAAATTACAAACAGTTTGCGGCTGGCCGTCAATATGAGGCAGATTTTCACTATTTATGGCAGTTGAGTGTATTTACAGCCATGAATATTTTCACTCTGCATTCAATCTAAAATGCATCAAAACAGCCCCAAATGCAGGCAGCGAGTCAATGCTGGTTACCCAAATAATGTCAGGCAGGAGTTGGATGAAGGCGGGGTAGGAGATCAGTGAGAGCGGGTCACGACAGATGGGCTCACATTGACGTCCTCCTGCAAGAACAGTGGAAGTGTCAGCGAAAAGAGGCATTGCCCAATTTAGTAACCCAGCGGTCGCACACTTTGGATGTTGTGCAACCAATCACATTTCCTCCAGGCGTGCTCAGTGTGTCCTTTCTCACTCGGATCGTCACCCTCTTGGCTCGGGAGAATCCAGTTTAATTACTCCACTCGTAAAGTGTGGGCTGGCTTTTTTAATCATGAGAGAGAGAGAGAGAGAGAGAGAGACAGTGAGAGAGGGAGAGAGAGAGAGAAATTGTGACATGAGGTATTAGCATCATTCCAATCTTAATTGGTGACACTGTTTAAAAAAAAAAAAAGTTGGGTGAACTCAAAATTTCAAGGTTGAGCAATTCAACCGAAATATTTGAAGTTTTGCTGTTGTGAAAATTGGCTTGTCCGCATTTCACAAAGAACAGAGAAATGAGTTGACAGAACTAATTGTCTCTTGTATTGTCATCCCCAACTTAAAGATCGAAGCTAAAACAAGTCAACAAATTGTTGTGGAGCAAACAACTTGCTTGCTTTGTCACGCTTGAACACGGTTGCCCAAAATGTAAACATCTTTGAGCAATGTCATGTAAAAAATGATATATTTTATGATCTAAAACTACATGGCCAAAAATATATCCAAATAAAACCGGTGTTACAGTTTTTTTTTTTTAAAATACAATATTGTAAAATCATCTGTATAAGGTCATTTACATGGAGGGAAATTTGCTTGATGTAATTTGCAAAAAATGTAACTTTTTTAATACAATACATAATCATGCAATTGAGTTAAAACTTCAAATAGTTCTAACCGGTGTTCATTTTTTTTTATATTTACTGTTTAACAGGATTATTGATTAAATAAAACAAGTCCAGAAAAATGCAGACAAAATGTACTGTTTAATCATGATCGATACTTTTGATATAGTTTTACATGAATTGAAACGATAAATATCTTACCATTTAAATCGTTTTTTTCGTTATCAATATGAATATTTGATTGCATGGCTGGCTATCATCATTCATGTGTTCAGCCTGTTGATCGCCCCCCGCAAACTTTCTCTTGTGCTTGCATGAATTGGTCGAGATCGGGGAGTGCAAGCAACACACGCGCATACACGCGCGCGCACGCACGCCGGCGCGCGCACACGCACACAACCAATACGATTTGTGGAAAAAGCTGACGCTGATCAACCACCGTTGCGCGCGCGTGCGCACGCGCACACGCCGCTCTATGCATCAATCGTGTATCGATCCAAACGGGCCTCCGCTTCGGAACCGACGTGCACGGTGCACACGCATGCAGGCCAGTGCACGAGAAGCACAATGCGGGGGTTTGGACGCTTGGAACAGCGTGTCCCTTTTCGGATGTTCACACAAACGCCCTCACACACACACGCGCACACACAACACATACCCACGCATACACACGTTTACGCTAACACGAAGTGAGGGTTGGATGGGGGGGGAGGGCGCAACAGGCCTTGATGGGTGTCACTTAGCTAAGATGAGAAGGTGTGTGTGTGTGTGGGGGGGGGGGGTGAGGAGGAGGATGGGGGTTGTAGTCAGACATATAAAAGCCACAATGGCCACATGCTTTCATGTTAAGATATTCTGCAAATGGACCTACTTGTGTGAGCAGTCCGGTTGGGTAAGCAAAAAAAAAAAAAAAAAAAAAAAAAAAAACAAATCTTCCAGTCAGCCAGAGTCCAACACCGGCGGCAGCGGTCTCTCCGAGCCGGCGATGGGCTGGGAAATCCGGCTTCGTGACACAGATGGAGTCCGCCTCCGCTGCTAGGGACAGGGGATGGAGGTGGTGGGGGGGGGGGCGGAAGGCCGGCCGCGCAATCGGTACTTGAGTCAGGCTGCGCGTGCACATACGTGGGGAAAATACCGGCAATCGAAATCGTGATCATAAAAGGAGCGATTAATGTGGCCCAACTCACCTCGGAATGCGCTATTGGTGATTTAAAGGGCCAGACGGCTGTTTCGTCAGCAACCTCTCCCGCCGTCGACCAGGAGCCAAACGCCTCCCTCCTCTCTCCTCCCCCTCTTCGTCTTCCTCCTCCTCGCTCCCCCTAGCGTCTGTCTACTGGGGTCCCATCCCTCGAGCCAGAACATCAGCGTTTTCCCAGTGCACGTAAAAAAGCGAAGAAGACATTTTATGCGGGCGGCCATCATTTAAAACTGCTCCCAGGTGTGTCTGTCGCATGCCTGGTCAGAAATGATTGGAGGAAACAAGATTTTTTTTTTTGGACAGCATATTTCTTCCCTTGGCTTGGAATAAGATTAGTGCCAAAAAGAATCCAACAAAACCTCGTCAACTGCAATGAAAAACCAAGACGCTGTTCGAAGTACAGAGGACGAAGCGAAGGCTCGGACGGGATCGAGTCAATGCCGAGCATCAAGCACAATGGCATGACCATGATTGTTTTATCTCTTCGCATTCGTCAAACATATTTTTGGTGCGCCATATCATTCGTTTAATTGATAGCTTATCTCCCAGCATTCACAAAATTACTTTTCGCGCATAGAAATAGTCTACACACACCTTGCCCAGATGAGCGAGGAGTACAATTCTCACAAGAACTCAAATATTACCCATCTGGCATCAAAATACTTTGGGGAATTGGTGACAGAAAGAGCTTTTTTCTTTTTTTTTTTAATTGAAGTGAATTGAGTGAAAGAAGATGTTGGTGGGGGCGAGATAGATTAGTGGGTAACACGGCTGATTAAAGGCATAGGCGGGGGGGGGGGGGGGGGTTTATATAAAAATGTGTGTAAACATTGGCAACCCCGATTTTAAAAAAGTTGCGTTGAAGTGACCTAAGGAGCAGGCGGTGATTTTTTTAAACACAATTTCATTAATTTGGTCCTGTTTTTTTTTTACATTGTTTTGGAAAAAAATCGACCTCGACGTGGGTCAATTTTTTTCTCCGTTCGAAAATATCCCTTTTTTGTTTAAAAAAAAAAAAAAAAAAAAGCATCCCGATTTTAAAAAAAGTTGCGTTGAAGTGACCCAAGGAGCAGGCGGTGATTTTTTTAACCACAATTTCATTATTTTGGTCCTGTTTTTTTTACACTGTTTTGGGTAAAAATCGACCTCTACGTGGGTCAATTTTTTTCTTCGTTCGAAAATATCCCTTTTTTTATTAAAAAAAAAGCTGACACAAGGAGTGGTCCATTTTTGACCCCTAATTCGGTAAATTTTGACCCAACTGTTATTAAGGTGCATCATTCTTTATCCTGCAGTCCACTGTTCTGTCACAGGGGGGCGCACTCATCTCACTTGTGCTTGACTTCCTTTGCAGAAAAGTGTGGAGGGGGGCCGGTTCCTTCGATTGCGGCACAAACGAGAGTGCTGCATGAGCTGGATGCTGAGAGAACCTCAACGTGACATCCCCATGCGGTGCTCAGCCGGCAGCCATGTTGACAGAGAGTGGGAGGAAGGCTTGGGGATGACGGCTGGGGTGTCCTCGAGCGGCGCACACCCCACCGCCGAGCCCTCATTCGGCGCGTCGTAACGGCCGCTAAGCTTGTCCTCAGCGGGGGTCAGGCGCCGCGCAAAAACCGCGGTCGACGTCACGCCGTCTCCATGGCAACAACGCGACGGTGGGTGACCGGTTAACGGCGGGGGGAGGGGGGCGGTAGGCAGGCCAACGCGTGGGCTGTGAATTCTGATCCCGATGACAAGTTCTGTTTTACGTCACCGGAGTGGGAGGGCGTGGTGGTTTCCATTGCTTACATGGGCAACTGCTGCGGATGTGAGGAGATTCGATTTCCCTGTGGCGTGCGGTCAGGGCCTCGCTTCGAGGTCTTCTCCGCTGGCTCACTGTCAGAAACACATTTTGCAACAAACTCAAACACACAAACACTCACGCCCACAAATACTGATGAAATCAGATTTCAAATATTCCACTTTGAACCTTCGCAAAGGCTGAACGTGACGTCATCATTCCAACGTCCTCTGATCTGCTCTGGTTACCCCTTTGATTGGTTCATCTTAAAATACGCGCCAAAGATAGATCTACAGTCAGAGGACAATGTCGACGATGATTCAAAAATCATTTTTTGAGAAATACTGGACTTGATGAGGCTGGATCAAACAACAGTGTTGTTGGCTGGCATGTTCCAACCCAACAATTCTTCATTGTCAGGACATTTTCGGAGGTGCAAATATCGTATGAGTGCGACAGCTACCTTACCCAGGCAGGAGCAAAAGAAGGAGGTCTCGATCAGCATCTGCGGTGAGTAGGAGGTATTTCATTTAGAGTTTTTATGTTGTGAACTGCTGTATTGTAGTTTGGAGGTGAAGTCAGACATGATGCACAACAATGAAAAAAAAAACAAACAAACAAAATCCAGGCGGCATGCCTCAAGTTCACAATTTTATTAGGAAAATCATTTTGCAGATTTGATTATTATCATCAATATCATCATCTATATTTATATATTTATATACTCTATATGTCATTTTCAGTTATTCAGAGGATGCATCAGCACAGTATATCTTAATAGGAAGACTATTGCTAGAATAAATATCTATACACCAGAATGAGTTCACTTAACTTTGTTTGAAAAAAAAAAACAAAGGCAAGAATTAAAAAAAAATAAATAAATAAAAACATGGGAGTGCCAAAAGAAATAATTCGCAAAACCATTTGGTTTTGTTTCATTTTATCCAGTTGCGCTGCAAGTTTCGAAAAAAGACAAAAGATGATTCACAGTTTGTGTCCTTGTTCTCATGCTGGCAGGAACACTAAAAATGAGGGAGCATGCGGGACTGAAGAGCCTGGAGGAGCGCCGAAAAGAAAAAGAAAGACAAAAAAAAACAGGCTTGCGGGACATCCAATCGACGGCTTGCGGTTTCCCCCCCTTTGCAATTTGTCGCCATGGCAACCAGTGACACCACGGTCCGTAAAACAAGAAAAGAAAAAAAAACAAGACCATTTGCACTATTTGTCACCGATTTGAACCGGCTTCCGCCCCCAATCCTCCCACTTCTCCAGGCTCCATACAAATTTCCCGGTTGCGCCTTTTTAAGCCTCTGCCTTCGTCGGCACACGGTTTATTTACAGCTATCTACAAGGACCTGTGAGCAGTGCAACCTACACGTCAATTCATTAAAAAAAAATAAATAAATAAACCAAAGACAGAGGGATCTCTGTGAGGAACATTGGAATGAATGAGGTTACTGATGTCGCCATGTATGTTTGTGTGTGTGTAGGTGTGTTGGTGACTCATGCCGCCGATAGCATCGAATATGTAACCATAGCGCACGCATAGAAGATGATGTGCCGCAAGTACTGTACGACAGAAGTAGGTGAGCTGTGGATTTTGAGCAGATTTGGTTACTTTCAACCAAGGTTGGGTTCAATCTTATTACCCAGCAGATTGGGTTGAAGAGTGATAAGATTTGGGGCTGGCTAAAGAGCTGGTCGACATTTTGGATCATGGTGTACTGAAGTCAAAATAAATTGAACGTACCATTTCCCCGATGGCTCGGTATGTAACTGCAGTTCTAGCCTCAGGGCGGTCAGTACCTTGTAAAAACATTTGGGTGAAAAATAACCCAATTTGGGTCTAAAAAGGACCTACCTGCCACTTAATTGGACTGTGTTGTGAAAAATGACCCAGAAAGTCAGGTCAGATCGAACCAAGTAGTGGATTAGTCCCTTTTTGACCCAAATTGGGTTATTTTTCACCCAAATGCTTTTGAGAGTGTGACACCCCATTGGGTCCCTATGCCAGACCCTTTTTTGCACCATATGTTGATTCCCAAGCACTGCTGGTCTCTAGGCTTGATAAAAAAATGGGTGGCTTTCATCGTGAAGGCGAGCTGGTGTCAAAACTGTGCAAAAGGTACACTACACTCCAAAAACAATTTGGTCAAAAATAAACAATTTGGCCAAAAAAAAAAAAAAAAAAAAGGAGGGGGGGGGGCTGACTGATCTGGAAGTACACAAAATCCCAAGACCCATTTCATGGGACAATTCACTTAATTAAAGCACATATAATGAATTTAATTTTTTATTTTGGGGTCCTGTAATGCTTAAAACAACAACAAAATGAACCACAGGTAGCAGATTTGACTCTTTTACAACAATTTGTCCCTCGGTGTTTGTTTAAATTTTTAACGGAGAGGAATTTTCAAGGACAAACAGCCAACATTTTTCTGATTCATTAAAAAAAAAAAAAAAAAAAAAAAATCAAAAAGTTTCCTCTTACGAAATGTGTGCATCCAGAGTCACACAAAGGCTGAAACTTACCCGAAACTTTCTCCAAACTGTCTTTCTCGTTGTTAACCACAGTGGATTTAAGACCACGTTCTATCCGCAGTCGCGCAAGAAACACGTCATCTCAGGCAAAACGTGCACTGGGTTGAACTGAGTCGGAGCTCCATCCAGTGGACAAATGGCATATGTCGATCATTCTGACTAAATTCAATAATGAAGAACTTTTACTCTTTCATGAGATCGGTGTTTAATCGGCAAAATATAACTCGATTATTTTGAAAAGGGCTATTATCGGCGAATAAAATCGTCCGGCCAATCAGTCTGATCTTAGTCCTGGCATTCCTGTCTGGTCGTGAACGTCTCCTTTGTCTACTCATAATCTACAACACGGGCCCATTGCGTTGATCGCGATCGACAGGTAGCTCGCGGACTGGTCCCATGTCGCGAGGTGTGTCAAGGAAAACAAACAAACAAACAAACAAACATTTGTGCGTCTCTGTGCATATTAGTAATATATTTTTTGTGTTAATGCACACTGCACCCTAATCATCCTATCAGTCTCACTTTCCCAAAAAGTTCTAATTAAATAAAGAAAATAAAATAAACCATGTCATCTTTAACCAACGTTGGCGCTTGTTCCTCACCGGAAGTTTTTCACGCTCAGCAGTTCGCAATGACAGCTTGTGATTAGAGCTGTGGCGCTGTATCTTTTATCGTTATCATTATTCTCACGGCACGGACAAAGAATGGGAATCTGGAGGGCCGAGAGAAGCATTGTAAAACGGTACGCGTGAGCTACGATAGTTAACAGGCTGCAATAATGCTTCGCATGCCTCCGTGTCAGGCTGTTGCTCATCATGCCATGCGTGTTTAAGTGCGTGCATATGCGCGCGAGCGCGGTTAACGGGTCGATCGCGGCAAAAAGTAGAGCTTCGGTCAAAAAAGTTTGGATACCTCTGCTATACAGGGTGAAGCAAAAGAGGCCATACATAGGAACAAAACAGTATTTTTAACTTCACCCTGCACAGTACTAGTGGTCTTATGTTCTTGCCCACTTGTATCCAAGCATCCATTTATCCTCCTGTACTTGTGTTCTAGTCGACTAGTCGGAGTCGACTTGGGTCATTCATAGTGTACGTGAAATTGGAATTTTGACCTTAACCCAAATAATGACTGCATGTAGTCCTTCTTGACTCATGTCCGAGTGTGTATCTTAGAGCCCTAGCATAGTTTTGACAAGATAAACATATCTTGTGTTTTAGCTGTCTGTCGTGGTCACTACTTTGATTTTTGTCTTAGTAAATGTGAGAACTGTTGTGAGTTGTGGGACAAATAAAGGATATCTTAATATTTCATAAGAATTAAATGAGTTTGTGCACGTGCTAAGCTGTAGGCCCTTTTATTTCCCAGGGTAATGGTAATATCAGATGAATCTGAAAAGTGTTTTGGGACCAATTTCGGCTGTATATATATATATATGGCGTTTACACTACAACTACAGGCAGTCATGCACCTTTTTTTCTGTTTTTGGTCGGCTGCGATTTCAGAATTGTAGGTGAGAATCCACAGCACGACCCAAGTAGTTGGTGGGCCGCCATTTTGTTTCCACATAACACGTGTATGCATCAAGCCTTATACCACGGAAGATTAGCGCAGCCTCTCCTCCGTATTTTCACACCCCTTTCCTATTCATAGCTCCCTCGCTCTGCCTCCCACCCGCACAACAAACACGTCAGCAAAACAAATGCCGTCAGCCGACAATCTGGTGCGGTAACAAACCAGAAAGAAAACCGCATATAGCACAGCTGCTAGCTAACAGGTACATTCATGGCATCATTAGTGATGGGGGGGGGGGGGATGCCCTTGAGGACCGAGTTTGGACACTCCTGTTGTCCAGGCAATGTTTTGTTGGTATTCATATGCTCTAGCTAGCTACCAGTAGGTGGTCTGGTGCCATGTCAAGTGAATGTGCGTACAATATGTATAATCACACACAGCCGCACAGTTAAAAATAAAACGGAAGCGATCTTATCCATAGTACGCTTCTTCATGGTCAATTATATCAGTTCTACCTCAGTTTAAAAACTTCATGTTGAAATTCATTTGATTTTTTTCTTGTTAATTTCATCACAAGTAGATACCCTGGGCTGGCTAACATGATCCTTAGGGCGCAAGAGCATTTTAAACCCAAGCACTTCAACAGTTAGCTTTGTCTTTTCTATGAATAAAAATAGTTTCAACATTAACATAACCTCTTTATCTGAGTGAATGTTGTTTTATATTATGTTTTCGTAAGCCCGCTTTACTCAAAGTGAGACTGCCAGCTAGCTCAATGTGAGCCTCAGACTAGCAATGCTAACTCGCTGAAGCCACTGGCAGCCATCTTGGGTTGCCACTTGCTAAGCACACCGACCTTGTACACATTTTCACATTATTTTTTGTATCTACAGCAAAAATGCCACAGTGAGTGGCAAAGCCCTTCAGGAAAAATATTGCTGCAAAACGTACAGCTAGCATCTGTAAATCACGACTCACAAAACTGAGATAATATACTCTGAAGGTCGATGCAAACAGTGAAGTTTATTCTTGAAAAAAGGCTCTTGTTACTCCATGCAGGGATTTTAGCACAAAATAGGCATTGCCAGTAGTCTTTAAAATAAATAAATAGGGCTGTCTGTTACAGTGGCAACGCAAGATGGCTGCACTCCGGCTTCAGCCGCAGGGGCCCTGTTGTTACTCCATCATATGCACGTCTTTTGAGCTTTGAGCTGATTTTTTTAATGTTCTGTTGGATTGTTATTTTATGTAAAATGTTTTGTAAAACTCTGTGACAACTGCAGCTGTCGTAAATGAGTAAATGCGCCATTTCAATAAAGATGTAGTGTATTAATTTGAATCCGTGTCACATTATTTCTGTTTTGTAACATTTTATTTTTTTTAAATGACTAAATATTACTCTGAGAAACACTTAATTACAGCATCTTGCTTTTCGTCAAATAGCCTACCGCTAAATGTCATGTTGTTTAAATGACTCAATTTTTTTTTTTTTTAACATTAGAAATAAGTGAATATTTGAAAAGGGTGGGGGTGGGGGACTCATATATCTGAGCATCCCCAGTACCTAACTGGTAAAGAGTACAGCTATCATAAAGTTTTCCAAACTGAGGGTCTTGGGCCTGAAACGAGTTCTTTTTTAATCAGCTTAGCTCGAATGATCAGGCCGTTTCTTTAACTCATGTGGATGTTATGGGCAATCGCATGATCCGTTTAGGAAACCCTGATCTATGCTCTTTTATAATGCAGACTTTAAACAATATACACGTGTCTGTACTGTACTGTACTACCGCACGTTGTTCAGCTGAGCAGAACAGGATTGTGCCAGTGATGGAAGAGCGATCGGTGGCGTTGTGGGATGATTGTTCCTCAGGACCGGTGAATATAGATGAGTGCGATTAAAATAAACAGGAAAAAAAAGTAGAAATCGGTAAAAAAGTATTGTGCTTTTTGTGTGCAAAAAAAAAAAAAAAAAAGGATGGTGTGTAGAATGTATGAAAATGTGTGTCTTTAATATCATAAAGTGCAATGTGTGAGTGTGTCGAGTGGACGATTATATGCATCAGTGGGTCATGAGGTGATCTCATCAACAACGGCCCCTTTTACACGGCCTGCATTGGCCCATGTGGACACACAAATGGGAGATGACGAATCGGACAACTCGATGATACCTCACAGCAGACACCGCCACTGATGTCTTCTCATCATATGAAAGCGCATGCTGTTTGCGGCAATATCCCAATTTATGCCGGGTTGGTTGTAAAAGGCAAGGGGGACACGTGCTGTATTTAAATTAAAAAAAAAAAAAAATTATGCGGCCATTTGGCAAGGTCTCTGTATGAAAGCGGTAACAGGCGGGACGACACCTCTGTCAGGCTATTGCGGAATGCAAGGACAGTGGTGTGAAGTTCACTTTAGTTTTGTTGATAGCCCTGCTGTGTCGCTGTGTGAAAGCCCACACAGTGGTCATTTCCTCTCTTTCGCTGGGTTCTGCGTAAAAGGCCGATCGGGTCTTGCGTTACGGCTCAGATTGTCATTTTACTGGGTACTCTCCAGGTAAAGGAGGCTAGACCCTAAGGGTATACAGCAATGCCGGGGGAAGCCGTGTGAAATTTTCACACTCACTCCTCTAGTCCTACGGTGTCAACATCAATCGTCGGCAAGCGGAAACTACTTCATGCGTCACATCAGCATTTATGGATGTCATGTGAAAGCGCTTGCTGTTGGGGCGGTATGCTGCTTTTTGCCGGGTTCTGTGTAAAAGGCAAATGCAGACTAATGCAGAGTCTTTTGTGACGGCTCTGATGTTGCTATTTTGCGGGGTCTCCGTTTGAAATGACATTTGACGGGACAGGGCCGACAATCGTAGCCACGCTTCACACCAGACCTTCTCGTTTATCTCATGTCACAACCTGAGGGCGGGATGTTGCGTCGTCGGGTCTCGACGTGAAATAAGACTTGTGAGTGTGAGATGAAGAACTAATGATAAAAATAATACAGATTCAGGCTGCACAATGAAAATAAATACATCTTTTTTTGTTATATTCGTGTGCTTTTGTTTGTTTTGTTTTTTTTTAGTGTTTTGACTTAAAGCATCAAAAACAAGGCCCAAAAAAAAAAAAAAAAAAAGACATTCTTGACCTTCAGAAACCTCCCAATTCCCTTTGAGTCTCACCGTCTTGGCAATAACCATTCCCGTGGATGAGTCATCTCGAGGAAAAAGCAAGCGAGGTGAGACGAGGCCGCTGGAGCGCTCCGGTTTCCCGACGTTCCCCAAACGCGTCAGGCTTTCAGAAAGAGTCTTAAAAGGATCATTGCGTCGTGTGGTCGTGTGTGCGTTCCCACTTTAGGTGACAAATGAGGAGAGAGGATTGTTGTTGTTTTGTCTCGTCCGTAAATTGTTTTCGGGGTGGGGGTGGGAGGGGGAATCTGGTCGTAAACGGCGTTTATTTACATCCTTCTTGTGTGGCGTTCATGCTCTCCCCCACCTCGGGGGGAGCGGGGGGGAAAAAAAAGGAACTCTTTTAACATCTAGTTTGTCTACACGATGAGTATGTGGAGGGTGGATCGGCGGATTCCCGTGGACGCTCTGATCCGCGGCGTTAAACTACCGCCGAGTCATGACTGGGAGGAGGATTGCGAATGACGGGGGGTGATTCCTGTTTTCGAGTCGTCGTCGTCGTCCTTCTTTCTCGTCTACATGACGCTGCACTTGCCCTTCAGTCTCTCGGCGCGCGACTGCTTCCCCGAGCGCTTGCCGTCGATGTTGAGGCTCATGTTGCGCTTCTTGTCCAGGTTGAGCAGCTCCTGGAAGAGCTCGGTCACGTTGTGGTTGGTCTTGGCCGACGTCTCCATGAAGGCGCACTTCCACTGGCTGGCCTGCGCCTCGCCGTCCTTGGTGTCCACCTCGCGCTGGGTCTCGTCGCTTTTGTTGCCGACCAACATGATGGGGATGGCCTCCACGTTGCCCTTGATGGCCAGCACCTGAGGACCGGCACAGTTTGTCGGGGAGTCCAGAATCAGCATCTCAACCCTCGGCGACGGATCAATTGAAACGTCCAAGAATCCAAATAACTTCTGCTAGTCAACGACTTGATTTGAGGAGCGACTTTTGAATGATGAGGAGCACGATACACTTTTGGTGCCACATTTCCGAGTTGACGTACGCTGTCCTAAAACGATTCATTTCTGCTTTCGGCCTTGTTAGCTGTGCATCCTCGTCAATCAATCAATCGTGTAGCTCAGGGGTGTCAAACTCATTTCACATTGTGGGCCACATACGGCCTCGGTTGATGTCAAGTGGGCCGGACCGTTCAAATTATACCATACTCTGCTATAAATAACCAAAATATCATGTCTTTCCTTTGTTTTGGTAGAAAGAAGCACAAGAACATTCGGAAAATGTTGAAATTTAATCAACATACCTTTTACAAAACATTTGACCAAATGACTTGACTCTTGTTTCATTTGGCTAAATCTGCTGACAGGTCCGAAATCCTCTCTGGTATTCCTCGTCAGGCTAATACTGTATTGGCAAAAGCTTGTCGGTTCTCGCGACATACAAGTTCAGCCGCCTTCATCATGCGTCGTTTCACAAAGTCACCATCGCAATATGGCTTTGATGCTAATGCTATTTCGCTAGCAATTAGGCAGCTGGCTTTTACTGCTGTGTCGGGTCTGTTTCAGTGCCAGACTGAGACTGCTGTTGTCTTCTTCTCTGCTCAAAACAGGGCTCCCCTAGTGGATGATCCACGAATTGCAGCTTATTAAAAATATTAATTCCGTGTCTTTTATGTATTCTTTCACTTTTAAATTATCCCGCGGGCCTGATCGAACCTCCTTGGGGGCCGGGTCCGTATTTTTGACACCCCTGGTGTAGCTTATTCGCCGCGACAGACACACACACACACACTCACTCACCTGTTGGTAGCTGGGCTTGAGCTCCTCCAGCGATTGCTTGCTAGTGATGGAGTAGACCAGGATGAAGGCGTGTCCCTTGGAGATGGACAGGCGCTGCATGGCGGGGAACTGGTGGCTCCCGGTGGTGTCGGTGATCTGCAGCGTGCACACGCTCTTGTCGCAGCTGATGACCTGGCGGTACGTGTCCTCCACGGTGGGGATGTAGGTGTCGCGGAAGGTGCCCTTGACGAAACGCAGCACCAGGGAGCTCTTCCCGACGCCGCCCGCCCCGAACACCACCACGCGGTAGTCGTTGCTCTGCTCCGGCATTCTGGCTCCCCCGCCTTTCAGCCTTCAGACGTTGTCACACCTGAGTCGGGAGAGAGTTGGGAGTCTTTGGTGTTTTTTCGGTTTCTGCCCTCCTATCGATCTGCCTTTTTGTTTTTTTTTATCCTCTCGGTCTGAACTTCATTCCTAACCGACAAACTCGCAAATGAACAGACAAACAGAATCGACTGACAAAGTAACAGACTGAGCATCCGCCGAACTCACACAACCACACGCTTACAACCAACTTAAGTGACAAACTCACCAAATGACACAGTAACAAAAGGGAAACACCAGGTCACCTCATCGGAGCCCCTTGAGTGACAGCCCTCCGTCAATAGCGGTGGCCCGTGACAGAAATCTACTGGTCGCAGCAAGTATTGACGGGAGTCGAGTGTTTCATTACTGTGGCAGCTTAGAGAAGGAGCCTATTATGGGACCTTAAAGCCCGCTTGCAACCGCTGCATCAATAATGCATCGGGCGCTCGCTCGCATGATGCCGGGCCCGGGGACGCACGTGTTTCTGCAAGTGTTGGCAAAATGGACGTTGGCGGTCAGCTCCGCAACGTACAAAGTAGGACTCCAGAATAAAAGTCATATTTCCTCACGTTGGATTTCCTCATCCATCCATTTTCCGATCCGCTTTATCCTCACAAGGGTCGTGGAGGGGGGGCCGGGGGGGGGGGGTGCTGGACCCTATCCCAGCCATCTTCGGGCAGCAGGCAGGGGGGGACACCCTGAACCGGTTGCCGAGACACAAACTAAGCCTCCACCTCCAACACGAAACTAACCCGCAAGCACCGTTGCTCATCTCCCAACTGGTTTTCGGCGCTGCCTTGGAAGTGACGCTTTGTGGTGCCGTTTTTGATCAATCGGCGAAGGCCTCGCGTGCTTCTCAACGTCGTCTGACCATCTGTCTTATCGGTCTGGATTGCATCCTCCTGTCATGTTTTTCTTCCCGCTTTCCTTTTCCTCCCGGGGGGGGGGTGCCAGCTCCGTGACGACGCCACCGCCGCTCGTCAACAACCCCCGTCCTCCAATCCCCTCCCCATCCACCACCGCCTTTTTCATGCAGCTAAAATTAGCCATCCACACACACACACAGGTGACACACGAGCCCCCCCTCTCCCCTTGGCAACCCACCCACTCCCATCCCGCCCACACTTGATAAGCGTGTGCAGCTCCATTTAATGAATTCATGCTACAAATGCATCTTGTGCGGCCGGCCGGCCGCGGTCTCCATTAGCAGATAGCTTTGGCACCACACAGCTCCAAAAACATCACTCCGTCCATCCATCCATCCATCTTTCCTTCCGCCTCCTTATTTCCCAGCTGGCGAGGAAATGTCACCTTCGGCCGTGGCTTAAATATGCCCATAATTTGCCCCGGCGAGAGCCACTCGACGCGGCGCGCATTTCGCAGCAGGCATGAAAGACAATGGCCGACTTGCAGATCAAGAGCGTGATTAAAAGCACGCGCTGCGCCGCGCGGAGGTATCCATCTTTTAATCGGGGATATTGGAATGTACAGTCTATGAGCACGCCTATTTGAGCCGCCGCTGGCCAAACGGGATCAACAGATTTAGTCACACACACAAACACACACACACACACACACCATTGATCAAGCACGAACATGTGTAACTGCGGCCACTTTCCCAGCATGCCGTGGGAGGAATGTGCGATTCTTTTTTTTTTTTTTTTTCTTCCTCGTGACTCACTCCAGCCAGCGTTTTCGTCATCGTCAAGCCGCTGCAGTAGTGCCGCACTCGCAAACACTCGCAAACACACGCAGGCAACAGCAAACGTGCGCTTCTGCGTGGGCGAACCGACGACGCCAGCCAACGAGCAGACGGACGCCTCGATAACGAGCCAACCAACCGACTCTCAACAAGCCGACCAACTAGAGAACGAACCTACTCAGTAACGACCAACACGCGAACGAACCATCAAACTACCCTCCGAACAGAGACATCACAAAACAACCGCACCAAATAACGAAGCAATCACAAAGCTGGCACAAAAAAACTTGTTCTGCACAACTGCAGCAGTGTATACATGTATGATCCATCGTTAACTTTTTGGGGAAAAAAAATGCATGTGCATTTCATAAATATTTCACAATTGCCACAATTCCAATGACATTATTTCCTTTGGGGTAATATTAATTGGTTGGGAAAGCAAAACGACCGATTAATCGGAAAACAGCTCGTAACGGCGATTAAATCTGTTAGCTACTTATTTCCCGGGCCCTAATAAAAATAATTAATGAACGCATTTCAATAAACACATTTTAGAGGACAAAAGCGCTAAATTAATGCAAAAAAGAAATATCACAGGACTCTTGATCGTCTAAATGTGCAGTGGGCCGGGTAAAGATCCAGGCGGAGTGTCTGTGGCCCACGACCCACACTTTGCTCAATTTTGTGCGCGTGTGTGCGTATGTGTGTGCATTAGACAAGATTGTAAGGCTGTGGTCTCGGCTTAGTCACTAATCACAGAGCTTAACCTTCCGTCTGTCTGCATTAACCCAATTCCCAAGACTTAAGGTTCCCACTCGCCTTCCTAGAAAAGACCGCGAGCCACAAAAGCAAAATTCATAACTGACTTGTGATTGTTTGTGTCGTCCAAATAGTTGTGTGTGGAGTGCCTTCTCGGTCATTAAGAGGAAGAATAAAAACCAGGTAAGTCTTATGATCTGGCCTACGTACCTGAGAACGAGCTCTTTTGTGCATTTAGTATGGAACAATGTTGCATAATAACCTCCATGTTGAGTTTCGCCAAACATGACTTGAAGCCAGGCCAGGCCAAAATCCAGGGCCACTTTCAAGCGATAGACAGAATCGTGCCTCTGGACAGCACGGCACTTTTTTTTGTTGTTGTTGTTTTTATGTTTACACACAGATGTTTTGGGTCCCACCCATAATTTTGTTTCTACACAATTTTTTCACCCAAATGTTTGGGGTTTTTGACCGACATGTTTTTACACAAATGATTTTTGTTCCTATGAATTTTTTCAAACATATTTTTGTCCAAAGGATTTTTTTCAAGTAGCCACATTTTTCTACTCCACCTCATCTTTACACACATTTTTTAAATACACAACTTTACCCAATTTTATAGTTTTTGTTTTGTTTTGGGTTGTTGGCCTACATTTTTTAAACAAATTATTTTTATTCCCCCAAACTTTCTTCAAAATATTTTGGGGGCCAAATCCTTTTGTTTAGTTTGGCACATTTTTTTTTTCACACTTTACTTCAAACCATTTTTTTTTACGGCACATGTTTTTTAGAACATTTCTTTTTTGCCAAGATGTTTTTGTTTCATTAGCCACATTTTTTACTCCACCTCATTGTTTACCCCAACATTTTTTTTGGTCAAAATGTTTTTGTTTAATTCACCTTTTTTTTTTTTTTTTTTTTATACTCCACTTCATTTTTTACCCAAACACATATTTTTGCCCAAAGGATTTTGTTTCATTACCCACAATCCTTAACTGCACTTGATTTGCATACAACTTTGTTTGTAGCTAGTTTTCTTCCCAAACATTTTTTTAAATCCATTCAGTTTTTTTGCACCTTTTTAATTTGCCATATTTTGTGAACAGATTTTTCTTTTCAATACCTACCCTTTTTTTTTACCAAGCTATATTTTCCACACAATTTTTATTTTATTTTTTTTCCTCAACTTCTGTTTAGTTATTCCAGTTTTCATAGCTTCTAGGCAGTAATGCACAGCTCAACTTAAGAATTTCACTGCATGTGCCACATACACAGGTCTGCACAGTAATGAGAAGGAGGAGGGAAGTGCCCATTCCTCACAAATGTTTGCTTTTCGTGTCAGGGCGACAAAACTATTCATCTGAGGCGTCTTACAAGGCTTCTGATGTTGAGTGATGTGACATCAGCATCATCTTCCTCAGTTAGTAAACGCGAGGAGTCAGACGTAACGTGATCACATGTAAGAGTACGGTGTAATTAGCACACAGCTGCGTGTATTAGCGCCGCGTATTAGCCTGACCGGGGCAAGCCGGAGCATCTCTGGCTAGGAAGCTGCTAATACCGCAACTTGTCATGATGAAGAGTCACATCGGCTCACCCTTGTCGCTAATATGGAGCAATCATCCCTGTTTCACATTTGATGTCCCCCCCGCCCCCCTCCTTGCAGCGCATCCGGAAAGAATTGTATACATTTTGTTATGTTGCAGCAGGGGTGGGCAAAGTGTGGTC